CTTAAGTCACAATGGTAAAATCTTTGGCAGGGCTTGTCCACCCCCTCCCCCCAAGATGTTCATTATTATGGGTTGTAAAGAAAATGAGTTGTTTTTTTTTTTTAAAAAAAAAAGTCTTATGGAATGTATCACTTTCTTAGATCTTGTAGACATGCCGTGGAAACCATAACACAAAATATGAGTTACTTACAATAACTAATTTTAATCCCATCTGCTAAGTATGACAACATTAGCATTTCCACTTAATTAAAAACACCCTTAAAGCAGCAATGTTTTAATCACTCCATTTTATTTACTCTCCTCTGGTGTCACTTATAATTGTAACTTTTTATTTTTTTTAATAATGAGAAGGGTTTTTTTTCTCTCTGCATCACACAAAAAAGTGCTGTCGATAATTAGCAGTCTTCTGTTATTACTAGACTCAGGTGTCACAACTGTGTCTCATCCTCATTACAGTAAAAAATTTCACCTATCAGATTCATTATTGCTAGATAATGCAACTGAGAGACTTAGCGGGCCCTCCAGAAAAGTAATTCAGCCAAGCAAAATTATCAGCTAATTATATTTAGAATCAGACGCCCAACAACTATTTGCAGATAAATTGTATGAATTGAAGGGAATAGATTTGAATATTAAGATTCATAGATTTAGCAGATGATTTGTTAATTGGAATATAAAGGTCATTTTAACAATGGAGTTAGAGGGCCTCTGTTGTTTCACCAGAGATACTTGGAATTAAGAATCAAAATAAAGGATAAGTGTAGTTGCCATGGTTTGAACTTAGCATCTACAAGTTTATTATAGAAAAATGTAACATTGCTTCTAAATTGCTACCAAAATTAATAGTCAGCCTATCTTCCACAACGCATAGACCAACTTCTGGATCCCATTCACATGTGTAAACTAATGGCTAATTTCCCATACAATTTCTCCTTATATATATATATATCCTAGGATTAATAGCAGATCACTCTTTGTTGAGCTTAGCTAGCATTTTTAACTGAGGTCTTTTTTCTTTGTTTCTTTTCTGAATGAAAGCTTGTGTTATACACTACATTTCATGATCTGTTTTCCCTAAATTCTCTAGGAATATATTGGCAGTTGTTTATTTTTGTATCAGTATGTAAGGTCATTTTCAAATAAAAGGATTAATTCCAAATCCTACCTTTTATCTGTCAATCTACATAAATATTGGATCCTGGTTTTATTACTTAGTGAGACAGAGAAAGTCCTTGCAAAAAAGTGTTTTAAAGATGACACCAACTGCTGGTTGGCCTGCTATTCTGTTTTAGGAAATGAAATAATAGAAAATTCACATTTTTTTCTTACATAATCTCACCATCTGAACTCTACTGAATTTTGTGTGGCTAACAAAATATTCCTTTAAATTCTCTGAAGAAAACTGATTAATGGCCAAAAAGTTACTACATCACACTGTGTATTTGTATTATACAAATGCCATATCAGGAGATGCAGTGGTTAGAATGCAATATTGCAGGCAGATGTTCGATCCTGACCAGCTCAAGGTTGACTCAGTCTTCCATTTTTTTTAAGGTAAGTAAAATGAGGACCCAGATTGTTGGGGCAAACTGCTGACATTGTAAACCACTCAGAGAGTGCTGTAAAGCAGAGTTCCCTAACATTTCCAGCTTTGTGGACTGGCGGGAGGGGGAAAGGGAATGGTTCTGTGCAAGCGGGCAGCAAGTAGGCATGCACAGCTCCATTTGCACAAGAGGTGTGTACATGTGCCTGCTGCTCACTTAAATGGAGCATGCTCGCTCACCCACTGCTTGTGCAAGTGAGGATGCACATGCGCACACTACCCAGGCATTTCCATGGCCCGGCTGTAAACCCCTCACGGCCCACTAGTGGGCCACGGCCCACAGGTTGGGGACCCCTGCTGTAAAGCACTAAGGAGTGGTATATCACTCTCAGTGCTAAGTGCTATATTTATAGATTTTGGATTGAACATCCTATCCAAGCTTCTCCAATTCCTGACAAGCATGATTGAGTAACAAACATGAGCAGCCATGGAAGAGGTGTGGAGAAGCATGATAATCCAAATAATCTCATGGAATTCTCTTTCAGTTTTGCAAGCTGCTTTCTTGCATTTAAGGATGTAGGATTGTATGTAATTGAAACCACTCTGCTGATGGAATGTTCATTAATTTCCTGGAAACTTAAATCAGTGGAACAAAAGAAAGATGGTTTTGTGTATGTTAATTCTCACTGCTTTTGCCTACTTCCCATGCTGATCTAAATAGGACTAAAGGGGTGAAATGCTCCCTTCCTCATAGCACTGACGGAACCCTCCACTACATCAAGAAAGCATCTAGTCTGCTAAATTAGCACCTGCTGGATACAAACTATAAACTTTGAAGCTGTCTTTATTTACAATTCAGTTAAGCTATAGATATTCCATTTCAAAAACAGAAGAAAAATCAGCTAAATTAATGTACACACAAAATACGTATCTTTTTTAAAAGGTAGAAGGAATGGTCGGAGAAAAAATCCACAAATGATTATATGGTCAAATCATGTTGAGACTAAGTTTTATCTTCAGCATTTTTGAAGAGAAAGTAGATACTGCATTGAGGGGGGGAAAATCAAGTCCTTTAATGTGTTGGATACTATTCATCCAACAAATAATTTATAAGATAAATTTATACAGGGTGGTTTCAAGTATAAAGTGTGGTTTCAGATTATTTTATAATTTATTTAAAGTATGGTTTCCACCTTGCTATGTAATTTCTGGCCAATAGAATTTCCAGTTTTGTGTATAAAGTTTTTTGTATACTAGATGAATAACCATTGTGCTGAACAATCACTGCCTGCAAATATGTGTTTGTACGTGCTATTATTTTCTAGCTTTTTCTATTGCTGTCGCCATTATTTTGCTGTTGCAATCCATTTGATCGTGGATGCCAGAGTGGTTGTGTCTCAAGCATGCTTCTCTGCCACAGGAGCAATAATAAGCTTGTAATTAGTCATTAAACGTTTATAGACCCATAAGTATAACTAAGTCTGTTCAAGTATACCTCCTCCAACTCTTTCAGGCAATGTCATTGTATTTCTTTACATGAATAAAAGAAGGACATTTCTGTGCCAGGCTAGCTCATGCTAAGGGGCTCCGTAACCACATTAATTTGGTGCAGATACATGTCATTTTGAAATCTATCTAGTGCAAAGAGTGTTGAGTATGGGAACAATTCCCCATCCTTATTTATGGTGCTAAATCTAAATCTTTCCCTCATTGGGCCTTACCCAGTGGAATGGGACAACTTGCCATGGCCAATTCAACAATTTTATTTAATTATTTAAAATAATTTAAAAAAATATTTTAATTTTTGTCATTCACATTTCATTTTGTCCTTCCCTTTGCATCCTTTCTTTAATGATTCTATTTCACCCTTTCTTTGATATTAGTGTAACTTTTGCTCCACTCAAAGTTGGTTGTGGCGAGTTATCCTAGACCGGGGGGTCCTCAAACTTGACCACTTTAAGACTTGTGGACTTCAACTCCCAGAATTCTCCAGCCAGTCCACAAGTCTTAAAGTGGCCAAGTTTGAGGACCCCTATCCTAGACCCTCACCCAGTGCCTGCACTTGAGGGTGTAGTTGTGATGTTCATTGATCCTAGAGAAACATCAGCTACTGAGCTAGTCTGCTTGCTGTGATACTTTGAGTCAATGCTGCTGGTTCTTGATAGTGTGCTGCAGAAGGAGAGGAAAAGTATTGCAGGTTCCTCACTCTTCTCCAGTTACCATAAAGAAGAACGGCCCATATTTGTATCCTGTGTCTATCTACTGCTTATATTTTTTTTAAAAAAAAAGTACGAAGCCTTTTAAAGAAAAAGAAAGCTTTGCTTTGATTTATTTAGCTAACAAAACATACGCTTACTGTTCCATTATATGCAATTTATGTGATCAATAAAATTATTATTATTTGTTTTTTTAAAAAAGAGCAACTATGGCATATAAAGAGATTATACTGATGCTGAGGGAATATGATTGTTGCAATCCAACTTCTGTGCTACTTGCCAGAAATACTCTTTGGGGCTCAGTAATGCAATAATAATAATACACAATCTGCATTCCCCTGTATTAGGATAGAAGCGGTGCATTGTGGCTGTTACCCCCTCTGTCCGAATTCTTTGGTCTATCCAGAAATATTTCCAGGTAGTATCCTATCTGTACGTTTCTTCCCCCCCCCTTTTAAGGGGGGAGGTATTTTAATTTATAATTAATTTGAAAATACAAAGTTTGAGTATAAACTTAGGCAAGAGCAATTGTTTATTTGGCAAGCGACCATGTTAGCGCTAAGGAATTTTTTAATGTGTTTTAATACATTAGACGAAGTTTATATTTACCATCTGTTCTTTCAAGATAACACAAAAGCTAGTTTTGAAATAGCATTCTTCATTGTTAGTATACATAGCCTTATAATGATAGATTTTATTAAAAAGGTCACTTTGTCTATGATAGCATGCAGATTTTTTCCCCCTTTTAATGATATTCAAAGGAAAAAAAATAGGCCTGAAAATCATACCAAATTACTTTAAACAATGTAATACTTAATAGTATGCAGTCCTGCTATGGGGTAACACTAATGTAGTACCAATTCTTTGGAAAAAAAAATCTCATCACTAAATGTCTCGTATATGCATTGTGTTACATTAATATAATGTATTTTAATCACCCAAAGGAGATGTCTAAACAGCACAACTACATAGCCTTATTTAGCATTAAACATCCTTGTGAGCTGAGGTAACCTTATAAAATCATGCTTAAATAATGTAAAACACGAGGCGGCACAGAGCAATATGCATTTTTAATTAGTAAAGTGACTAATATCGAGTGTGTGCTTTGAGGTTTTTGTTTCATTAAAAATGTATCTGTTTTTCCTGCAGCTGAATATCTGTATTCTACACCTGAACAGCTTATTAAAAGGCTTCAGAATTTTTGCAAGAGACCAGAGATTATAAGGAAACATCTTTATAAGGTATTTATTCAGAGCAAGCACACGATGCAGTCTTTTTTTAGTGGAAAAAAAAAGCAGAACCCACCCAACCCTCCTTCCAAAACAAGGAAGAAAAACAACAACAACAAAAAAAACCATTTAATTAACATCCTACTGTTTAAAGGAAACATGCTATGGAGGGATATTAGTTGTTATACTAACAAGGATTAATTACACTGGATGCCACTTGTATTAACCCAAGGTCTTATAAAATATGTGCACTTAGTATATGCTATACGCTTTGTCTTCTTTTTTAATTTATTGTTTTCTAAAGTGACTGTCCACCATACATGGACCCAAGAGGCTTATAAAAATGAACCTGGATTAATTTAATCCATTAGTTTAAAAGAAAAGAAAGAGAAGGGGAGAGAAATCCTACAATTATGTTAATAAGTGGAGCTTACTTTGTCCTATCAGATGATGACCCAGGTATATTTCCCCCTCTCCCTTTAACTTTTTTTGATTATTTCAGAGAATGCCTAATGCACTGCAATATGTCTGTCTGTCTGTCTGTCTGTCTATCTATCTGTACATACACACATATAAACACACACATATATAGTTATATATATTGTTATTTATTTGTATCCCACCTTTATTATTTTGACAAATAACTCAAGGTAGCAAACCTATCCAGCACACCTTCCTCCTCATATTTTTTCGCAGAACAATAATCCTGTAAGGTGAATTGGGCTGAGAGAATGACTGGCCCAAGGTCTCCCAGCTGGCTTTCATGGTTAAGGCAGGACTAGGAAACTTCCAGTCTCCCAGTTTCTAGCCTAGCCACTGTACTAAACTGGCTCTTTGTGCAAGTTCTGCCTCACTCAAACCACTGTAAATGAGTCCAGTTTGGTGCTTTACCTTTTAATGGCATTTTTAGGCTAAGTTCAGGAGAAAAAATCACAAGAAAAAGAGCAACCCTTTTCTCTTCCTGTTTTTAGCTTCCTATAGCAGTGAGTAACAGAAAGTAAGGCAGAACACACTAAAATATTATTATTTATTATTATTTGTTAAATTTATTTGCCACCTATCTTGCTGTGGGACTAGTCTAGGAGGCTTACAAAAAGAAACAAGGAAGAAAATGTCCAAAAAGATGTCCAAACGATTCTAGAACATTCATGCATGAAATCTGCAAGTCCCACATTGGATGTTTTTTTAGATTTCCAGAATGAATAAAAAGAGGAGGCAAAGATACAGGACTTCATGTTTTTGGAACATCATGATAAGGATATGCAACATGATGCCCAGGCACATTTCTCATATCCCAACTCTCCCTTTAAAAAACCTTTAAAAGGAAATGAAAACCCATCTTTGTTTATAAGGATGTCCATAAGCACTTCTTCATTGATTCTGACTGAAGTGGCAATAATGTGGGAACTAATCCAGATGGCAGAGATCAAGGACATCAGCTTGCCTTTTTGACAAATGCCTATTTCTGACAGGCTCTGTTCAATGTGGTTGCCGCTACCAGAGTCGGCCAGGTCCCTCTATGGCAGCCATTTTGCAGGTATACCCACAACAGTTTCTCAGATTACAGTAGTTTCTACTGACCCAAAATATTTTCCTCTTCATTTGCTACAATGTATAGATCTGCTGTAGCAAATAACATTGAAAAGTGTGGATGTTTGCATTACAAGTAGTCCTTGTTTAGCAACCAAAATTTGAGACTGACAACTCAGTCATTAATGAAGTGGTCACTAAGTGAAACCACAACTGTGCTTCCTTGCTTTATCTATATCTATCTATCTATCTATCTATCTATCTATCTATCTATCTATCTATTATATTTTTACGATGCCTGTCTCCCATACAATGTGACTCTGGATGGCTTATCATCTTTCTTCAGTTCTCCTGTGCTTTGCGAAGGTTATAAACATGAGAATTAGTCATAATGTTACTTTTTCATCTGCATCATAACTGCAAATGGTCACTAAACAAGGACTGCCTATATTGTGTGTGTGTGTGTGTGTGTGTGTGTGTGTGATTTTATCTGATTTCAATTCCCACCCCCCCACCCCCCGCGTACTCTTACATTATTTTACTATTGTGCGTCATCGCTGTATCTTTGCAGTGTTCATTCACTATCGATATCATTCTGAAATATAAAATTATGTCTCTCGAGGGTGGGGGCTTTCTCTTAGCTCCTCTTGGAAACTGTAGCAGAGGAGCCAAGCCATATTGGTACAGGGAGTCCTCTATTTACAATCACAATTGAGACCAGAATTTCCCTTGCTAAGCAAGGCGGTTCTGAAGTGAGTCATACCTGATCTTATGATTTTTTAGGCCACAGTTGTTGAGCAAATCAATGCAGCTGTTCAGTGATTCACACACTTCTTAAGCAGATCTGGCTCCCACCCCAACCCTAACGCTAACACCACCATCCTCGACTTTGCATATTGGAAGCCAGCTGGGGGGGGGGTGTCCGCAAATGACAATCACATGACCCTGGGACATTGCAGCAGTTGTAAATACTTGTCAGTTGCTAAATGCCCAAATTTTAATCATGTGATTGTGGGAATGCTGTGACAGTCATTAGCGCAAGGGCTAGTCATAAGGGGTTTTTTCAGTGCTGTTGTAACTTCAAAGAGTCACTAAAAACCAACGGTTGTAAGCAAAAGACTATCTGTAATGGGGTTTTAATATGCCCACTTTTGCAACTTGGGACCTCACCTGGCCCTTTTTCTCTCTGAGCTTATCTGAAATAAATTTGCAGTGAATATGATCTCAACGTATTTAATATTTTTGTTTCATTTTTGTCACCTTAAAAAAAATAAAAGTATAATTCAGCAGCAATTTTGCCATTTTGCACAGCTGAGGCTTTGGAGGAAGGATACAGGTTGTTTGGGGAAACAATGTGTGAAAATGTTCTTAATAGATAGTACTTTTCTGTGCTGCCCTTGAAGTCCATGCTTTTCCACACAGCAGTGTGTCTTGCTGTTTTATATTCTGCGGGGGGGGGAGGAGTGTCACATCTGCCTTTTGGAATCCTAGATGGCCCAGAAATAGAGTTGATTCTGCTGCTAATAAATATATGCTTGATAATACGACTGGGACACAATTCATCCCTATTCTGTTTAGGATAAATGCACAATTACATGCCTCCTCCCTTCCCCAAAAGGATTTCTGACTCCTCCCCTTAATATTTTTTGTAACTCCTCCATGCCCCCCTCCCCCCAGTGCCCCACATCTGTGCAAGTGAATGAAAATAATTTTGTTCTTTACACATGCAATTTTATGGGTGACCTAAGAGTGGACATTTATGTGAGGGCACACCAACAGGGAATATTGTTTCTGCAGGAAATGGTTAAACCTCAAGAAAAAAAAAGGAGAGAACCAAAAATGCAATTTAACACCCAATTTCAAGCTCATTATCTTTCATTGTCTATTAAGTTGGCAATGGTTCAGAAGGTAGCTCATAATAGTTTAAAATGCTGACTGAACACTTCCAGTGCTCAACATTACTCCTTGAGTCAATACTATCACATAGCTAGCTATACACGGAGAGAGAAAAAATAACTTAATTTTTTTTACCTTGACATTAGTTCTTTCTGTAACTGCAGTTAGACAGTTTTGTTTCAGACAGCTTGCTTGCTTCATGGCTGGGGGCTAGAGTCTTTTGCGTTCCATTTTGCGTTCATTATGGACTGGAGAGTATTAACGAGTGTGATTTCCAAAAAGTGGGGCCGAAAAAACAGATGCCCTTTGTGCAAGTTCCAGTAAGTAAAATGCTTCATTGGCTACAAGTGTCTCTGGGGAAAACACACTCCTTGCTAAATTATATCCAGGCAGTGTTACCTGGCACGATCACCACAGGTTCATCATGTCTGATGGGTGCAAATTACTCCTAATCTAATCCTGGGGATCCCTGTATAGTATCTGTGGACCTCTGTGGTTCTGTCTCCAGAAGAAAATCCCACATTTATGGGCGGAACTGAACTTACCATTAGACATTAGACCTACCTGAGAGAGCTTTTAAGGCAGGGTTCGCCAAACTTTAAGACTTGTGGACTTCAGCTCCCAGAATCCCTCAGCCAACCATGGTGGCTGGGGAATTCTGGGAATTGAAGTTCACAAGTCTTGAAGTTGCCAAGTTTGGAGACCCCTGTTCTAAGATAAGAGAAGCTTGGTGAGATAGAAGAATAGCCATCCCAACCCATGCTATTTGTAGGCAGACAGGCCATCAGCCTACCAACTTGCATTCTACCAAGACAGGGAAGACAGTGTCTCTCCCAGTATTCCTTAACCACGTTCACTCTATTGATGTTGTATTTTTCTGACCCAGACAGTGGTCAATTATTTTTCATATAAATGAGATATGATGTCAGGACCCAAACGGTGGTCCTTGTGGGGCCTTCCCTCTTATGGAACAGCTTGTTCCCCAAGGAAAAGTTGGCCCTCACTATCATGGCCTTCCAGAGGTTAGTAAAAACATCTCTGTTCCAGAAGGCTTAAATACTATAGACCATCAGTACATTAACAATTTATGACACCTACGTTACCATCCTAACATTTTACTTTTGTAGTATCGTTATTGTATTATGAATGTCTGTACTCCACTTACAGTTCATCTGGACGGAGACAGTAGAAAATTGCATAAATAAATAAGGTACCCATATTTCCCCCACATGCAAATGTTCTTCAAACGGCCACATTTGCTTCTTAAATGCTTTTATAAATTTTGCAAAAAGCTTATAGGTCTAGCTGCAGTGTTTTACTCTCTTCCTAATTGTAGTTTTAAGTGCAAGTCCAAACCAATGAAACTGGGACTTAGTCTTGCTGTCGGTTTGGCTGAAACTGGAGAAAGACACTCCTGCAGCTGGGGCACAGCTCTTTCTTTTTCTACCAGAATTAGCTGGAGTTTCAGTGAAATGCAAAACTCAGAAAACAAATGGGAGTGTTTCACTTTGTAACATATACAGTTTAGTCAATGATTTCATAGAAAGATGTTTTATCTTTATGGTTTCTCATTTTCAATGTCAGTC